AATGCTGACTACTTTTTTCATACTAATTGTTAGGCCATTATTTACACACTGAATTGTCAACAGATTTTTTCCGCTATTTCCCGATCATGACAAGGAGCACACGACGGGTGGTACCGGTCGGCAGGGGATGCTCACTTCTCCATGGCACCTGAACCCATCTCTGATGTCTTAGAGGTCCGTGTTTGCTTTGCTCCTATTTTGTAATGCTTAATGTACTTTTGAGCTCGAATACTGTTCGTTATCTCCACGTATTTCATGTGATACAGTTGACTGGGACACGTTAAATTCTTCAGCAATTTTGTTCTGCTCTTTGAATTCTAGTAGCGCGTTACTTCTTTCAAACTCTGTGCAAATTTTCACCGGATATTTTCAAAAAATCACAGGAGACTGCAAAAATGTCCAATTTATCCAAATTTCCAGTCTTGGCTTTCAAAACTTCAAAATCCAAACTTCATTACAAAAACTACCCGGGCTTACGTCAAGCACGCTAGAGTCATGGTTGAGTGATTTTTTATCACTATTAAATTTTTGGACAAGAAACCTCTCTGTCCATTTGATACACATCAATAATAAGAATATCTTCCTAAAATATCTTGATTTCTATCAATAGAAGTACATGTATGCAATTCAATCTTGTTTTTTATTGGTCTTGGGATATGAAAATTCAAACTAAGGCAGAAAAGTTCGCTACTGCATCAAAAAATACAGTGACAATGTATTTTGAACCTTGTCACGCCAGTATTTGTTCTACTATAGGCTATATGTATTCTGCATTGACTGGTATGCACACATATATACAATGGTAGGCAAAATATCATAGCACATTCGGAAACATTTTGACACAGGTAATGCACTTGTCAAATATGAACACCCTATAATATGTCATTCGAAAGTAATCACCAAATTTAAATTTTTTGAAAATTAGATCAAATATGAAGGTCAAGGTCAAGGGGTCAAAAATCATAGCTCGGAACATCTTGTAACAGGTAATGCACATGTCAAATATGAAAGTCCTATCTTTTCTCAATCACAAGTTGTAAGTAAAGGTAAAATGTTTGAATAGAAGGTCAAGGTCAAGGGATCAAAACCATAGTACATTTGGAAAGGTCTTTTCACAGGTAATACATATTTAATATGAAAACCCTATCTTTTCTCATTCAAATTTAGTGACTAATTTAAAGTAAAGTTAAAATTTGTTGAGAAATAGGTCAAACTTAAAGATCATGGTCAAGGGCAAAAAGTCTTATTTCCTATGTAGCTTGTAACAAGAGCTTTGATTGGTTACAAAGTTGGGTGTAAATTTCCGTACACCCGACTTGAGCCGGGGGTAAAAATCGTGACGTCACAATGCATAGTTTCTCTATGATAAAAAGCAAATAACATGACGTCACGATGCATTGTAGGACGTAGTAAACCTCATCGATAGCTTGAAACACAGTTGATTGGACTTGTTTACAAAGAATTTATTTAAGTACATAGGAAATAAATTCGTTACCCAGGTCCAATCAAGGGTGTACGGGGATTTAACCCGGGTTGTATTATAAGGAAAGATAAACGTTTTGAAAAGAAGGTCAAAAATGAAGGTTAAGGTCATGGGCTCAAAAATCATAGTAAATTTTGAAATGTCTTGTCATAGATAATATACATGTATAATATGAAAGCCATTTCTCTTCTCATTCAAAAAATATGACCAATTTTAAGTAATGTTAAAATGTTTGAAAATTAGGTCAAGAATCAAGGTCAATGTCACGGGCACAAAAATCATAGCATAATTCGAAAGGTCTTGTCACAGGTAGTGTACATGTAAAGTATGAAAGCCTATCTCTTCTCAATCAGAAGTTATGACCAAGGTTAAAGTTTTTGCGACAGACAGACGGACAGGCTGACAGACGATTGAGATTTAATGTCGGGGGACAATAAGGGGCCAAAGTCGGCCGATAGAGTATCTTGTCCTTTGTAAAGGTTTGCTAATAGAAGCTGTATACAAGTTAGATTAATTTCTGAAATGTTATGTACATGTATATTGTTTCGAAAAATAAATAATAAGGTTTTCGGTAAAGATATATCCTGTTGTCATTTTTGAATTTACCAAATGGGGTTGGTAATTGCAATTGCAAAATTTACAAGATGATTAGATGAAAAAACATTTTCTGTATTAATAAGAAAAATTTTCGGTTATGCGAAAATATATTTTCGATATTAACTGCTACTGATAGGGCTTGCTCACTACATAGAACGCGCTCACTTTTATTTATGGCCTGCTCACTTTAACATAGACCCGCTCACATTTATACATGGTCCGCGGCTTCCTTTTACTTACTAAAAGTGCCCTAATAGGGCCTGCTCGCTTTGATATACATGTATTACAAAATTCTGAAAAGACTCGTTCTATTTTTAAACTTCAAGTGCACTGCTTGGGTCCACTCTTTTAAATAAACAAAGTACATCGACTGACTTTTACTGACATCCCTAACATACACAGATAGGGTCCATCTCACTTTTAAGACATAAACTGCACTATATTTTATAACATGAATAAGACGTTGATATTACATGTACATACACAAACATTACAGATAGGACCCGTTCATTGTCTACTGTTAGAGGCTGCTAACTTTTACAAACTTACTGTGGAATGATACTGGCTTCTTACTTGAACAAATTTAGTGTACTGATTGGGCCCACTCGCTTCATTGCTCTTGCATTTTGCCCCCAGCCGCTGTCTACAATGTAAGGGCGGGGAAGTAAGTGGTTATCAGTATACCATATGTATATCACATTATACCGGTAAATGAGGCGTATGCTTACGTAAATCTTGATAGATTCCAGACTTAACTCATCCGTTTGATTTCATGAAACTATCTTCAAACAATGTAATCCAAATACCATCCGGAGTACGATTCCAAGAAAAAGACGTCAACAATTTCTTTTGCTTTTCAACCATAAAAATATAGATAAGTGCCACTTTGATTTCTGTAAAGTACTCATATGCATCAAAAGGTGGGATAACGTAAATACTGTATCAAAAAATTCTTTTTACGTCAATGTTTTGGCACAGGAAGGATAACCTCCCCTCACTATTTTGTCAAATCTTATAAAAATCTCTCTAATCTTTGAAGGAATATTTTAGCCTTGACTTTCAAGCGAATGAGAACCATATTACAAAAATGCATATTCTACAGAGTCTATATATGTTGCTTTGGCTGAATGTAACGTTTGGTCGACAAGTTGCAGCAGACAATGACAATCTGGAAAAATCTATTTTGGACGGAAGTACGACGTCCGGAGGAAAAGTATCCAGTGTTTTGCGGGACATCCTTAACCAGGAGAGCCTAGTGAGGTTTTCTATGGTTCAGAGAATTCAAAACTTAGTGATGGATGTCATAGACAACAAAAACAATTCTCAAATAATGAAGCAGAAACTCAAAATCTTGACAAAGGAATTAAAAGATTTGGAGACAAGAGACGACGTATATGAAAAACGATTTCAAAAGATGGAAAATACCTTTAAGAACTATTCTAAATCTATCAATGAGACCCTGAATGGTTTACTTGAGGGTCATAAAGTTCTAAATCTGCACATCTCCTCTTCTCTGTCAGCTGGTAAGTTATAAGTTAAGTAACCATTCCTCCTATACTAATATAGTATTGTACTTATGTAGGTACGTACTTACTAAGTAAGTACTTATTTTAATCGTTTATCTTAGACTCTTAGCAACATAGTCTCAATCTTTATAGCACACTGAAATCAGAAACTTGAACTATGCATGCTTTAGTATTTGATAACAAATCTCCATAGAGCTATGATTCTTATGCTAAATTTTACAGAGGATAAAATAAAGTTAATAAGTTTGATAATCATATAATTGTTCTGTGAATCTATATTTAATAAGTCATCTTTATGAACTGAATGTCAAGTTTTTAAGTTTCAAAACTAAATTACAATGTAATATTCTGTCTTTAAGTTCACCCTGAAAAGTTCTTATTGATGAAAGTATATTCTAGCTTCATAGCAATAACTGATCTTTTGTTACTTTTTTTTTTGCTTTGTTGTTTCTCAGCCAAACTCATAGTTGTTCTTATTTTAAAGCTCAGATTTGAGAGAGAGAGGTGAGGAAAGATTGTTGTTAGTAATTTGATCTCATCAAGTCCAAGAATCAATACGGCAGCATGAGTTGAAAGCCTTTCAGGGAAACAAATTTCAGTTTTGAATACAACTTAAAAAACGTACCATGTGACATGCATAAAATGATATTGCATTTTCAGTTAACTTTTCGTCAAAAGGAGGTATAAATTGTGAAGAACATTTTATGACTTTCTTTTCATATAGAGTCATGCTTGTTTAATACACGATATTTAAATATTTGTGTGGAAGTTATCGAGAATTCATTCGAAGCGCCGCCAGCGTCTAAGACGTAAACATAGGTAGTGACTCTTCCTTTACCAAGCGCCCTGCATTGAAATGAAAGTCACGGGTCTTTCAGATGAGACTTTAAAACCCAATGTCCTGTGCCTCGACAAGAGTTAGCACAATAAAGAACCCTCACTATCAAAGGCCCTGAGTGCCGAATATAGGTCTAAATTTGAAGGTCTTCACGGTATATTGTGATGTCTCTAAATAAGTGAAAAATTCTGAATAGGACGTTAAACAACATACAATCAATCAATTAAAATCCTAAAATATTTAAAAATTGTAGATTTTCTATCAACATCAAAATCCTAACTTTTTTCCGTCCCTCTAATAAATCTATCCAATTCTCTGAACCCATTTGTTGGACATTTCTGGGAGGTTCTGGATTAAAGATTGATTAAAAGTTATGTGGCGAAACTTTTACATGTACAAACATAGATTTAGAATCCTTTTCCATAGTATTTGAAAAAAAAATATCAAGTGGCCAAAAGCTATATTTTAATAACAACCAAGAATCATAACTAGAATGGGCTTTTTTTAATTAAAGCTGAATCAACCGCTTTTTATATATTTTGCAGATGATTTGCACCCGAAATCATGCTACGATATCCTGGAACAAAATAGCACATTGCAAGGAAAAGATGGCGTCTATGAGATTTTGATTAATTCTGACATCACTTCTGTCTTTTGTGACATGACTACAGATGGAGGCGGATGGACGGTGAGTTCAAATATGTCACATGGACAGATTAATAAGAGAGAGAGATATTGAGAGAGAGAGAGAGAGAGAGAGAGAGAGAGAGAGAGAGAGAGAGAGAGAGAGAGAGAGAGAGAGAGAGAGAGATTCTACTTTAACACAGGAACATAATTCAAAATTAGAACTTTCACTGCATAAAACTCTGCCATTCAGTGACCATTCCCCCTCTTTTAGTGACCATTTACATGGCTGAATCGTGCAGGGTCACCCTGTGTTTCAAATTTAATATCTGCTTGTGGAACGAAGTTAATGCCTTGTAAAACGTGCTCAGATGATCAGTTTAGTATAACAAGATCTAGATCTGCTCACTTAATTTTAGTACACATTAGGGGATTACTTATAGATGTTTGTGTGTATACATGTATGTTTACAGGTAAGTATGTGTGTATACGTGTATGATTATATGTAAGTATAAATGTATGTTTGTATGTAAGTTTGTTTGAATGCATGCATGTTTATTTGTAAGTTTGTGTGTATGCATGTATATTTATAATTATGTAAGTATGTGTATGCATGTATGTTAGTACACATATCTGTTTATGTATACAAGATGGAAAGTGGATGGATAGTTAGGTAGGAAGTTACGTTGATGTGTGTGTGTATGGATAGATGGTACACATGGTTGGAAATAAACGATCAATTTTTCAATTTAAAAAGAGGCCATTATCTTAAATTAATTGGCACAAGATAAAATATTTCTTCCATTTTATAGGCTATACAGAAAAGAATAGATGGTTCAACTGATTTCTATCGAACTTGGAAAGAATATAGAAATGGTTTTGGTGATCCAAAGAACAACTACTGGATTGGTAAGAATACAAACTTTAAAAGAAAAAAAATATTGTTCATATTTATACTGATTGTAGTTGAGGGTAACATTGAATTTTTTTACCCCGATAAACCCACTGTCAACCGAAACGGACCCGAGAGACAATGGTTTTCAAGAGGTGAAAATTTTCAATTTTACCTTCAGCTACATGCAGTATTTATTATATTATATAGAATGTTTTATACAAATAAAAATAAAGGTTAAGCGCGCGCAGAGATTTCTTTTCTGCTAGTTAAACAACACATAATATTAGAAGTATAAACAGAGTTATTTTTCGTTTTCTGCATTATTGTATTCTTCTGTGTCTTTTTGTTTGTTGTTTCTTTCCTTTTTTCATGATCGGGAGTTGTTATTTTTAAAGCTTTTAATATTCATTTCTTGATATATCTTTTGGGTGCAACTCATTTATAGTACTGAGATCAAAGTAAAAATAGTCATACATGTTTACTATCAAACTGTATAATATTGTGTACAATTGATATTATTATTATGCCTACAACTCTTGATTTTCTAGCATCTGTCTAATACAATTGATATTATTATTATTATTATGCCTATAATTACTAATTTTCTAGAAATATTGGGTTGCAATCTTTATTGAAAATTGTAACAGAATTTGAAATAAAAAATAACTGAACCAAACAGTCAACCAGCAATGACAGAAAGCAACCTATATCTCAAATAAATTAACTACAAGGTTATCATAGGAATTGCTTAGTCGAAATAAAAACAGACGAGAAATCAACATTGATTTTATATTGTTTTGATTTACAAAACAAGGAAATATAAAATGGTGCCACCACTTTAAGCTGTTATTTAACTTTAAGCACCACCCATTAAATCTCTAACAATAGAAACCTCTAACTCTAACTATTCTGTATAACTTATTCTGTATATGTCAATTCATAAAACAAGCCATATCACAGGATAAAGGTATATTGTAATTATTAGTTATAAACATCAGTTTCAATGATTTTCTTTTTCATTTGTCATAAAGGGAATGATGCAATCCATGCTTTAACCAAGGATCAGGACCAGGAACTGCGAATAGATCTCCAGAGATTTAATGGGAACACAGCGTATGCTGAATATTCAACGTTTTATATCGGAAACGAGGCTGATAAATATCCACTCACAGTATCCGGGTACACAGGAACTGCAAGTAATTTTTTCACTGGAATAAATATGATATAAAGACCCTTTAGTATCATTTTTTGCAAACATAGGAACTTAATTTTACATTTGTAACAGTGCGGTACATTTGTGATTAAGAAATATCATTATAAAAAAAACTGCATTACACCAGAGGAAAAGTCATTGGATAAATGTAATTCAGAACTATGTTGAATCACATTCGCCTTTAAAGAGAATAATTTTTAATTTTGGCAGTACGGTGTTACACGTGACCTGTATGATATTAAGTAGGACAGCTGTCCGTTTCTTTGAAAGATAGTAATTAAGAAATATAACCATGTGTTGTAATACTTTCATAAAAATTAAGTCACTGGAAGAAGTACATACATATTTCAATAATTGATGATTGAATTATCCTTAAACATGAAAAAAGCACCAATTTCAAAATTATGTCTTTAAAGACCTTTCGGACAATTGATATTAGATTGTTTTAAAAAATTGTTGGCTTCTAGTGATTACATTTTTTTTTTTTTACAAAGAATGAACACGTGTTTTCAATATAACAGAATTTCAACCCGTTTTTCATTTATACATTTCCGTAACCATTTTATATTAAGCATTATATATCTAAGTATTTATATATAGAATGGCATGCGCAATCTTGAACATTTAACTAAAGATAACAACCATTTATTTTTAAAGTTTTTATCAATAAAATGATGCTTGTCCAAGAAGGGGGCTTTATTTACATATTTGTAATCCACTGCTGAGAAGAGTGGTGATGTACACATCATGAAGAATCAAGCTATATGTTTTCTTCTTTGCTTATCAATGTAAACTTTGATGATACATCATGTACTTGGTATTTGTACACCTTAATTAATTGTGAAATTCTGACAAAATTGAAGTTTCATGCAGGTACACAACACTTAACACATTAAACTATTTTGGCCTGTGCTAGTCTCAAATACAGGCTAAAAATAAATGTCTTATGCTATTGAGTGAATAGTCATTTTAGCCTTTACCCTTAGCTAGAAGCAGTTACATATATATTGATTCATAATAATACAGACTACATATTTGTTGACACAATCATGCATGTTTTAGCACATTCGGTATTTTAGTGTTAACACTTATTCATATCATATTAATTGTTTATTAACTTTAAGTGAATCATTGAATCTTTTTAAGGTGATAAACAAAACGGAACACAAGAAAGAATATCAAAGACATTATACACAAAGTTAATGTGAAAGATTTTTACATTTTCAGCGTTTCAATGCAGAATTAATTGATTTGATATTCTACTTGATCGTTTAATTTATTTGAATTATCATTAATTGAAAATAGAATAACATAAAAAAGAAGATATTCTTGTATTCGAATATATTTAAAAAGATTAAAAGGGGGTGGGGGTTACATGATACACAAGATCATGATTTAGGATTTTCAAATTTAGCATGTTTATTTTAAATCTTAAAGAAATGATACGTCTGGACTTTTCAAATTAGATTAAAAACAATGCATAAATTTCATATTTGTATGTAACTTATCGTACACTATGTTTTAGGTGACAGTTTCACTTACCACAATGGTAATAAATTTAGTACAAAGGATCAGGATAATGACCGGGACAGTCGTCACTGTGCTGTACAATTTCACGGAGGATGGTGGTACTACGACTGTCACCGCTCAAATCTTAACGGACAGTACGCTCTGTATGCTCTGTTTGATTGGAAATACCCGACATGGAAGCACTGGAAGTATAATGAAGCGTTAAAAAAGACTCAGATGATGATCAGACACAGAAACTGAGGCAGATTGTCATCAGCTATAACATTATTCCTATTAAGTCTTTATATTACCTACAAAAATGAGTAAATGTATCAACAGCATGCCTTTATTACATATTGTTTTCATGTTAATTTAGTTCTTTCTGACTCGTTTTTTCTTGATAAACTCATCATAAAGTAAAAAAAAAAAATCAATACAAGAACTACTTTTCTGTCTTTATTCTTATCTACTATGAGTACAGTAGTCGCCCATACATGATTAATTAGTGTAACAAGTATGCACTTCCATAGTTCTTGTTTATGTAAGGATATGAAGAATCATAGGACATTACACACATTACTTTTAATATTAAAGGAACCTCTGGTCATTAATAAACAAAATCTGTAGTGTGTTAGTTCTCAAATCAGTGTCAGTTACAGAGACAGGTTTATTACAGAGCCTTGCTCTCTTTTGGATTCATAGTTTTATTTTCTTTTTTCACATAATTAGTAACATATGCTTTACATATGTTAAACATCACATTTAATGTAGATAAAATTGCCGTATTGATTATAAACTTGAACTTGAATTCAAACTATCGTTTCTCTGCCTGGATAATCATGGATAATCATGGATATCTGAATGGTTACTCTCCGCCCTCTTCTACAATGAAACAATTTCATAAACCATTAAAAAGATTCAAGCCTTTTATGTAAGATAATTCAAATGATGTCGACAGACATCATATGGTATATTTATATCATGGCCAACTTAACTATTTCAAAAAAATTATACTGATTAAAATTCTAAATAAAACGTTGTGTACAAAAGAAAAAATAATAGAGAAATATTGCGATTGCACACCATGGTCGGATTCACTCTACCACAAAGTCTCTTTGACGCCTTTTTTGCAAGATAAAAAAAAATAAATAAAAAATTTAAAAAAAAAAAAGAAGAAGGAAAAAAAAAAAAAACAAATAAAAGCAAACAAACGAAAAAAAAAACCCTCTAAGTGCACTCTACTTAATATAAATTGGTAACCTAGGAAGAAGCCACACTAAATATTTCATGTATACAAAGTATATCAGTATATAGGTATCAAATTGAGCATAAATAGTCATGTTAGTAGCTCCTTAATATGTAAATATTCCATAAAAGAATAACCAGTCTAAAATTACAGAATCTCATATGGTAAATTCTGTTTAAAAGAGTTTATGAACGGTTTCTGTGTTAAATAAAAAAGGGGTTAAATTTTCGGCCTATAAATACAAATATTTTCGTGCATAGGACTTTGATTAACTTAAAAATTTTAGATGCAGTTTTTTTCTGTATATAAGTGAGAAAATCCGTACCAGATAGACTTTGCCCAAATCACCCCCTACCCTTTTAAATTTTATTTTCTGCAATATTTGAAATAGATCACACAAAAAAGGATGCAAATTGCTTGATATTATTGCATAATTATATACAAGCTCTGTATTTTGTATTAAAGTTAGTTACCCTGGTACTAGTTTAACAGTAATCATTAATTGGGTTGCACATTCTGTACTGTGAACATGCTGGATTTTTTTTGTGGTGTTTGATCATCAGGAGTATTCATTGCATATTTTGAATTGATAAACAGTATTTGGCAGTAAGTACTTTTTTTTTTTTATTACGGGGTGCTATAAAGGCAGAACAAGGTAAAATAATCTGAATTATCATATTAATTTGGCTTAGGGCCTTTCAACTTAAATTGATTATTTCCGGTTCAAGGAAGTTGGGATGACCACAGAGGCTTGGTTTAATGTAGGCCTATTACATAACTTGCATAATTATGAAATTAAAGCACCCAATTCTTTGATCCATTTGAAGCTATATCCATTTTAATGTAGCATTCTGAAACGTTGACTTTCTCCTTAAAAATATGTCGTAATTCTTTATCTAATTTTCTGAGTCAAAGTTCATTCCTACCCAAAAGAATATTACAAGCAATAATGCAATTGCAACTCCTGTGAATTCCTATAATTCTAACTGTATAAGTTGTTTAGGTAGTACTAGTCGGTTTACACTGAGTTAATGTACTGTATAGCACTCATAACTTTCAAGTTTCAAAATTCCACAGCATTGTCATATGGTCTTTTGTTTTCGGAATTCTTTTTCTAGATGGTAAGCATTTTCTTTTGACTGCTTCTATCCAAAAATTTCAGCAAAGAGTCATCATGTTGTAATATCCTGAGTTCTCTAAGTTAAATTTTAGCCAAAGGTTGTCCTGAGGTATGTAATTTAATGATATCCAATGGTTCTATGGTCGATACCATGACCTTGTAGGCAAATACAATCTATCATTAAGTCAAATAATGACTGACTTTTTTAATACTGATTGTTAGGCCATTATTTACACACTGAATTGTCGACGAATTTTTCCGTTATTTTCCGAACATGACAAGGAGCACACGGCGGGTGTGACCGGTCGGCAGGGGATGATCACTCCTCCATGGCACCTTATATCCATCTCTAATGTTTTGGAGATTCGTGTTTGCTCTGCTACTATTTTGTAATATTTAATGAACTTTTGAGCCCGAATACTGTTCGTTATCTCCACATATTTCATTCTATTGTTTCCGCCATGTTGACAATTTGTGTATTTAGCTGTGTTTTCTTGTAGACTGCCTGCACCGCTTCTGAGTTGGTATCGGGAAGTAGGTACCTTGACTGGCTTGTACATTTTTTAAAAATTAAATGCAGATAAAGCTTTTACCCACCTACGTCCTGTCCTATCTAACTTAGCTGTTGTCAATAGAAAGTTAGAGAGTTGTTGTCTGCTTTTACTACGATTCTGTGTCCATTTGCATAGTTATAAAATTTCTCTTTGAGAGCACACTTCAGACAAAAGAATTCCAATTTCACTGCTGGATAATTTTCCATTAACTTCCCTAATGTTCTGCTAGTAAAACATAACTTATAGTTTCTTCCTCGTTCCTGAGAAACAACTGCATTCAAACCTTCTGATCTGGTATCTACATAAACTTCAAATTCTTTGTTGTAGTCTGTATATATGCCAGTATTTGGGCATGTTTGAAATGGTACTTCAGCTTGATGAATTCATTCTCATGCTCAGGATTCCATTTCTAACACTTTATCTCTGTTCTGATCCTTGTCTTCTATGATGGCATGACTTCCTGTATCAGTTTGTCTATTTGACCTAAGTCTTTGATGGAACACCTTTTAAATCCTGCAAACGCTACAAACTGACGCACTTCTTCTGGACTGTGCTGAACTAAACAACCTGTGTTGTCGTTTTTTATATACACAAACGAAGTTAACAAAAGTTTACGAAATTCCATAAGCTGCTTCTATAAATCCTATATATTTCACTTGTTCTTGAAAGAATTAGCATTTCCTCTAAGTTTCAAATTGCTTTCTCTTAGTTTGTTGAAAATAATCTGGAAACATTCTAGATGTTTGCCATAGGCTTTTAAAAAAGTGATCAAATCCCCCCCCCCCCCAATAATAATAATAACTCGGCTTTTAAGGTATCATCCGAAGGACCCGCAACTTTCACTTCAAAGTGCCGAGCGTCTGGCGAAGGAACAGCACTGTTGCTACCTATTTTTTTATCGACTTAGGCCAGTTGCGGCCGAGATTTGAACTTATTTTTTAAAGCATGAAAATATTATTCTTTTCATGTATAATATAACGAGATAACTACTTACTCGATATAACTAGATAATTAATAAAAGTCATATATGGCGTATTTTTGATAAGTTTGACTAACTAAATAAAAAAAAAGATCTTCCTATCTGTTTTATTTCTTTGAATAACGATAGGACTTTCCTGTAAATTACACAATTTAAATCAGTAGCGCTTCATAGATATTAGAAATTTAAAACAATAACCGATTTATTTACCGACTCCGCATTTAAATATCAGATACAGTTTTAAGTCAATTTAACTATAGAAACGTGGGGTTTTTCAAGTTATCGGTGAAGATTTTAATTTGAACGTAAATAAGAAATATCATGTTCATCTACATTCAGTCTCGTATTTTTATTTTTTAACTCAGATATGCAGATAACTTTGAATCCTTTAGACGGGGTCAATATCTGGTTATAAAGAGATATCTAACTCGTTACGAAAAAAAAATTATTTGTTCTAACGAGATATTACCTCAAACCATTCTTTTGTTCATTGGATTCAAACAACATTCAATTAGTAAAAGGTACACATAAATTACATTCTTTGAAAACAAACTGAATCTTTAAACTTTAGATAGCCTTGATATACTGCACATTAAAAATATGTGACAAATACAAGTACCACTGCGCCATTAGAGGTGTTAAGGCTTCGAATCTGAGGAGTTTTACATTTCTTTTAAAAGCTTAATATTCGGGTTGAGACTCCATGATTGGAAAAATATGCTAAGAAAATTCTTTCTTCAATTGAACTGTATATAAGTCAAAAACATTCATTTTTCATTTAAAAGTCATTTATCTTTTTTTTCACAAAAATATTGCTGTTGTAGTTTATATTGACCCCATAACTAGGTCGGAAATCCTACTCTGAGAAAGAAAGAGGAGAAAATTTGGTTCTGGTGTGAGATTTCCCCTCGGGTGAAATCCTACTCAAGGGTACAATTTCCGGGGAAAAGCTGGCTATGGGGGAAATCCTACTCTATAACACCTGTACAATATCTCACCAGTAAAGATCTTTTAGAAATATAATATGCTCGATAAAAAAAAAATAAAAAGAATTATTAAACAAAATATCACACATTCACACAGTTAAATAACAATGCATATGATGCCAAGATCCCGGTTGGGGTGGGGGGGGGGGGGTATGGTGAATTTTTTGTATCATTAAAGGGTGCGACTGAAAGGCTTAATGATATACTAGTGTGTATCATTAACCGTCGATTATGTAGATATTTGCTTGTTTCATTAAGAGTCGATGTTGCTCTGCATTTGTGACGCTTAATGATGGAATTCTATCATTAAGCGGCGATTTAGCATTAGCAGTTAAGAATGTCAACTATTAATGCAATAATTTATGGCATTAAGAGTTGCAATTGCAACGCTTAATGATATTTGTATCATTAAGCGGCGTTTTATCATTAGAGGTTGCTACATAGCATATTTCTCAGATACAATTTGGCAGGA